GAATATATTTTTTCGTACTTATTGTTTTTTTCTTAAATTACTTGATTTATCTTTGTTGTTTTATTTTTTTAAACACTTGTTTTATACATTTTCAGAGTTTCTTTATCCTTTAATTTTCCTTCTTCTAATTACCTTTTTTGCTTGACTTTTACTCTATGTTATTATTTTGTTTATTCTCTAAGAAATCTTCTTCGGTTTATTTTTCTTTACTATATTTTCTTATTGCTTCCTTCTTTTCTTCATTTAAACAGACGTTTTCCTCATTTGTTTCCTTGTTTATTGATTTCTTGTAACATTTCTTTTTTCCTTCTATTATTTTTCGTTATTTTTTTGTTCTTTTCTTTCGTTTCTTTTGATGTTTTGTTTTCTTTGTTAAATACGTTCTTTCTTTTCAACATTCCTTTTACCGTGGTATGTGTTTTATTTACTTTTGTTATACCTAACTTTTTTTCATTTCAAATTGTGAGATTTCTCGACGTTGCCTACGGGTTGATGACCTGAAATTTCATTACCGACCAATTTGGCTGCCTAAATTTGTTGTGGCGGTCTGTCAGATGCGTTTCGGTATTTCGTGTGATCAGTGTGATTTCTGTTAAGACAAGATTGATTTATAAGGTCGTAAGTGTTTGGTCTTCATTTTGGGTTTTATAATGTTATATAAATGGTCTTTTTTTTGGGTTGCCTTTTTTTAATTCTAATTTTTTAAATTAATTTATCTCTATAAATGAATAGTTCATTGTTACGAAGTGATGATTGAGTTTTTTTATTAGTGGGCTGTGGTAAGTATACGGAAAAATAATATATTATAAGTACACCTTATTTGATCAAAATCTAAATCAAAATTTAAAAAGTTCAATAAATTGATTCAAACTTTCCTTAAGTTTTTAAAATATTTTTATAATTATTAATCTCTCCACCTTACCAATCCGACAACCAACGGTTTTTTACTTTCCTTCATAAATTTCTTCATCTTTGAAAAGTAATTAAAAAAGCCATTAAACCACTAAAAAAGATATTAAAAGCAGTACGTTTTCTGAAATTTGCTGGCCCCTAGGTTTTGAAATAGTAGTTTAGAATCGCCATAGTAAGTTTGTGGACTTGGAAAAAAATTGTTTTTCAAAGTTCTGGCTGCTAAAACGCTTATTTATACAACGTTTTCAAGTTTAGTATTTATCACATCTTATTGGAAATTTAACATAGTTTTCAATGGTGTCACAGGATTTGTCGAAAGTTTTTGGGTTTTGGAGTTATCATTGTTTATTTGAATGAACGTCGTGAAATCTTACAAAATCATAAAAAGCGGAATACCTCCGAAACTGTTGGATTCAGACCATCGTTAAGTGAGACTTTTCGGTTCCGTTTTGAACATAGAATCTACTGACAAAATTTGTAATACGAGTAGCCGAACACCCTTTATAACTGAAAGATAGAAAAGGACGTGATCAAGGTAGGAAAAAATTTGAGCTACGTTTACGGATATTATTAAATATTTTGAAAGTCTATTGGGCAAGTTTGTAACACGAGAAGCCGAACACCCTGCATCATATCATAAACTACAATGAAATTACAATAGAGAGACGTGATGATATTGAGGAAAAAATTAGAAAGAACTTGGAGTCTTGAAGCACCTAATCTTTTATAATTATAATACGTGAAACTGCGACTTAACAATGTGTGTGTGGTGGCGGGAATGTAGAATGCATATTGTCTATTGTTTTATTCAATTTGGAAAATATCACAGAAATGGTGGATTGAAAATAAATGTTTATTTAAGATTGGTTGAACATTTTCACCACGTGGAAACCAAAGTAACTTTACAAATAAGAAATTGTTAGTAGAGGTGAAATGAGGGCTATTTGAAGGAGACCCACGAGTCGACTTCATTGCCCGACAATGTGAGGCATCCTTAAAGCTTAAGGGATTTTCAGGTCAATACAGCCCCTCTGTCTGGATGGGGAATAAGGAAGCTAAGAGTAGCACCATGGAAATTTACACAGCACCCCTATCGTGATAGCAAAGCTTCTACGTTTTGATAAAGTAGAAGATTTGTATCGTGCTTTATTTTACAGCAGTATTTAATTGTGTAAAATAGTGGTAGCTATTCTTGTTTTGACCCCTTTATTCTATCATACATTTTAGTTACGTTATTTCTACTTTGTCTACTTTTCCTATATTTTTCTTATTCTGTTATCCTGTTTAGTTCTTATTATTATGTTATTATGTTCTTCTTCTGTTTATGTTCTTATTATTATGTTCTTATTCTGTTCAGTCAAGTCAATTTCTCCATTATTTTCTTTTTTAACGACGGTTCGCAATAAACCCTCGGGGTGCCGGTGTTTTTGAAAAAAAGCCATTTCTAAGTATGTCCGGTTGGAATGCAGAGCCGCTGGATTCGAACCCGGGACCTTTACCCTATAATGACGAGCGCCTTGTCAAAGCCTAAACCGTTGCGGCCACCAACGCCCCCCTTTATTACCTTCTTATTTTCATTACAAACTTATTTATTTTTCTTTTTTATTATCTTACCTCACCTCTTTTTGTCGTACCCTTTGTTTTCTTTATTATTTTATTGATAAATAATAAAAAAATAATGCCGCAACGATTACACAATTGGCACTGACCAAATGGTCGGGAATATTGCAAGAGATGGTATTCTATTAACTCTTTTGGTATATTGTAAGCATGATGTAATGGAAGAGAGTGGTCGTCATACTGGGAATCTACAGTCCTTACAGAAAGATCCGTTGAGCATAATAGGCCTGATAATATCTGGCACTAAGGCAAGAACTCCATAGTTATTACAACTGATGTCGGCCTGCCATTTAACTGGAATATTAGTTTTTCATTCCTTATCAAAACTAGAAAGTACAGCAAACTATCCTTGGAGGTTTCCCGTTAGAGGAATATGTGGAGACTATCTTTCTTAGGCTGTCGTCAAGGTTTTTAATCCCTACCATCTTTAGATGTTGACTAGCAGTTTATCCCCTGTTATCAACATTTTTCTTCTTTATTTTTACCCTTTTTTTGAATAGTTTAACGAGTTTCGATCCTTCTTTATATTTCCCTTTATTCATTTCCTACCATTTATCTTTCATTTTATTCTCTATCTTTTATGAACTTCATTCTTCCATTCTTTTGTTCTATACTTAATTATTCATTATTTTTATTAATTCGTTCAACCCTTTATTTATTTTGTTTCCTTTTGAATCCTGTGTTTATTTTATACTCTTCACTGCCTTTTCCTCTTTTATTTTATATCTTACTTTTATTTCTTGTGATATATGTACTTGTTTATCACCTACTTTCTTCTTGTTTCATCATTCCTTATCGTTCCTTCTTTAGCATTCTATCTTTCGTCCTGTTGTCCCTTATACATCAGTTTGTTCCTTGTATTCTTCCTTCTTAATTTATTTTTATGTACACTTTTCTATATTTACTTTCATTTTCAACCCATATTGTGGATATTTGGACGGTGAAGGAAAAACAGGACCTGGATACCCTTTTCCTCGCTTTCTAGGGTAGTCATTGCCAACATATGATCTTGCCAGAAAAATGGCGAGTAAAAAAAAAGATTGACCACATTGCAATTTGTATTTGCCTAATTTTTGGTTTTATCCCTTAAGAATAAACAAAGGCACAATTATCATTATTAAGTCAGTCTAAAACAGTTAAAAATACGTATTTAACAACTGAAGTGACTTAGCATAATAGACTTAATAATACTTTAGTCATTACCTTCCTTTCTAAATGCTTTTCGCAAACTGAATATTGTATCTGCCTTGCACCCTCGAGCACCTCACACTTATAGGGAGTTTTCAGGGCAAGGCAAAGTTTTAATCCTATTACTATAACTTATTTCCCAGTGAGACCGCTGAGGGTGGAGGCTAGAGATTAAAATTGGCGGCTTCTGTTACTTGTAGCGTTGGGGGTCCTGTGAAAAGTTTTCTCGTTGCGAAAAAAAATTAAGAAAAAATGTAGAAACAAATAAACTGAAACACAGGAATGAAGCACTACCGTATTAATGCTTTTCCAACATGAAATAAATCAATCCACCTTTTAAGTTAGAGAAACGAGAGCATTGAAAAAGTACCGACTTAAAAGGAAATTGGAAAAATATGATATGAAATACATGGATTTTAAGTATCCCAGGAAATTATTTCGAACTTTACATATGTTAAAAACCCAAAGATTTTAGTTGTAAGAAACTTACATTGAGAAAGAAACGTGCTAAATAATATAATACAGTTTAATTTAACACCACGTCGTTCAAAATGAAAATAAAATTTAGAAAAGTAACAAAGAAAAACGCAACCTCACCATATAAAATAATCTCAATTTCATAAAATTCCGCAAACCCACTGAAGAGGGCGGAATACCAAAACGCGTCTGCCAGACTAGCCCAGAGAGGAGGATGGCAAGAAAAAAATTATCTGTAACGACCAAATCGCTTTAACAATATTATTTAGATTATCATTAATAACCATTAAATGTAAACGTAAGGGGGCGTCGGTGGCCGCAACGGTTTAGGTGTGTGTATATGTCATGGTTGTGATAAAAAAAGTTGGCGTCATGACCTGTATTTGAACCCACGATCATTGCAGGGTGACTGGCGATAAGTTTCGACAATTTCAAGAGGTGTTTTGTCCAAATCTCAACGGTTAAGAAGTAATTTCAGGTTTCTGCTTTTTTAATGTTTAGATTTAGCACCACTAACTTGGTTATAAACTTCAGAATTATTGACTAGAAAAATCTGATTTGTGACACATGGAAGAACGTTGAATTTGCTGTTTGGAAACCTATTTACATTGCAGAATTGATGAAAAAATTCTGCAGGAAAATACAAAAATGTTGAAAATTGGAATGTTTTTTAAATGCTGGATTGTGTTAGGTTGGCTCTTGGAAAACAATTAACTACTATTTACTATACTAACATTTGATTATCTTTAAAGATATTACATAAATGAATTTTGTTTCTTCTCGATTATACAATAATGGCTTACGGTGCTTCATATCAACTGCAGGTTCCAAAATTACATATGACTTGCAGTAAGGACTTGGGTTCCTATCTACAGGTGTTACAGTTCCCAAAAACTATTCTACGAACATAGGATTGCAAAAATTACTCAGCCTGAGAGGGACAAAACACAAGATACTCACCCAGTATCAGCAAGACGGCCGCGATCATCTTCTTCCCAGAGTTAGAACAAGACTGACTCAACGTCCGTCGCGCGAAATTGGATCCGTCTGTCTCACATTTCTTCCCTCCCAGTCTATACACTTTTTCTACAACTTTAAATTAAACTAAAACTAATTGTCTCTCGTACACTACAGATTGGTTACTGTTAATAAGTGCAAATTACTGGAGCTTTGAAAATTTCCTCAAAAGTTCTCCATTCAATTAGCTTCTCTTCCTTCGGGAGAGCAGCGAAGATGGATACATCGGCAGAGCTACAGTTCGCTGATCGCTTTTCTCTACCATATGAAGCAATCCGTTACTGAGGGTTTGTCTGCTTCGAGATCAAGACAGATGAGTTGACTTCACCATTATCAGGAGGGGAATAAACATTTGCCAGCGTGATGACAAACACGTCCAACACCTTTTAAATGCCCCACATAAAAAGCATCTTATAGACCAAGATAACCTAGATAAGCCGTACCACTATCACCTCTCATCATCCTGCGCTTTCTTCTCCAGGGCGCTGATTTGAGATTCTGACAGAATAATCCCTTCTTTCGCTATTTTATCTTCAAGTGCTTTTAGGCGTTATTTAAAATTTTCCAGAGTATGATGTAGCCAAATAGAACAAACCCACCACGTGAAACAAAATGCCTTTTTTCTCATTTCATTACTGCTGCGGTATTGACCGTCTGCAGGGTATTCAATGACATAATCAACCACAGCAGGTTCAATCTGTTCCAAAACCCTTTAATACAATTGAAATAAAATATAAATATAAATTGCACTCTCAACACTACACACGAGGATGACACATCTACACGAAAAACAAACACTTTGAGCCCTGAAGGGAAAAGGAAGGGAAAGATCGAAACGTTGGCACGATAAAGAAAATGATTTTCTAAAACCTACGTCACGTCAGACCGCACCTCTCGATCTCCAAATAATAAATATAAATAAAATATATCAAGTATAAATAAAAACACACTTAAAATATAAAAAATACAGTTTGTTCTTACTTTTTACTTTTCATAAAATTTAGAAAAACCGATAAATTTGATAATATAAGAAGCTTACTACCTTAAGCAAGAAATTATTTTTATCACAGAATATACCATCTGGGTTATGCATAATTTGTTTTGATGTTCCCATCTTTTTTTTCTCTTTTTTTATTGCCATAACCTCCGGCATACATCTATTTCTAGCCAGCGCTCGAGCAGCCGTTCCCCCAGTGGATCGAAGTCACGATAGCTCAAGTGGTAGTAGAGCAGCGGCGTATTTAGCCGAAGGTCGTGGGTTCGAATCACGCTTGTGGCACTGACTTTTTTCTCTCAACTGCAACCTTAATTAATTGAAAAGAATTTATTTGGTCAAGCGGACCGCGAAACTTAATAAAATTATGATTATTACTTACGGTCAAAAACTTTTATCATAATTTATCAACATTTTGGTTACTGTAAATACAATATTTGCAAAGCCGATATTTATTGTATGCATTATATACGTATATTGTGTAAATAGAAACCACTCATTTAATCCCATCACCCGTTTTAAGAGAGGATGGCCTTGCGACTTACTTAACGAGGATTAGTCCTTGCGTTTGGCTGAGACAACAACAAAAGTTATTAACCCCCATCATGGCACCTGATATATGGCATTTTTAAATATATATAAACGGCTCGGTACATAATGTAAATAAGGTTACAGATTGTAGTAAATATATAAATTGAAAAAAGTATTGGAAAATTTTCTCTTGTTAAAAAAGCCATAAATGCATGAATTTGCCTGCGGTCAATCTAAAAACAAATCTTGCTAAAGAGACTATTTGCCTATTACCTTATTAATAATCGATAGTAGTTAATAACCAATTGGGGAGTCGGTGGGCGCAACGATTTAGGCAATGACACGGCCCTCATCACTGTAAGGTAAAGGGGTTCCAGAGGCCATTCATTCCATTCATTCGAACCCGACATACTTACAAATGGGCTTTTTCGGCAAAAACACCAGCACCCTGGGGGTTGATATAACCTCTACTGTTGCGTACCTTCATAAAAAAATTCAATAAACAATTGATTCCGGGCCCGTCAACATCTACAGTGATCTCACAAACCTAATTTAATATGAACACATGGTCGAAAATTAGAGACTTTCAACGAAACATTCGAACAACTTGTAGTGCAATGTATTAGAAAAAAGTGTGCTTCTTACATATTAGAGCACCAGTACAACATAATCAGACTTTGTAGAGAGAAAACTTGAAGTAAACAATAGGTCGTCTGGAGTGTTAAACCATCTTCGACGTTGGCTCAGCATCAATTGAAACCCAAGGACTTTATGCTCTTTTGTAGCAGCTAAAGTTGGATATCTAGTAAAAAAGCTGGGATCTGAAAATCTCTTGTCAAAGAAGTGATAATGTTATGTTTGAATGTTGCAAGTTTATAAAATCAAAAATACTAATAAGCAAATGTATTATTGATTTAATTACTAACCAATTGAATAGTATTTTTCTTGAATTTTTTGCGATAGATAAAAATCTTGTACCTGAAACATAAAACATGACTGAATAAATGTATCATGACAGGACGTTAACATAATCAGGAAATCCGATGGTTGTGGGGAGATGGAAAGAGGGGAATGCAAACACAGGTTTCCTCCTCTGTTGACGAAATCCTAATTAAATAGCTTTGAGTGAGGACATTCGTTATCGTTTGTAGCTCAAACAACCGTCGCAACTGTAATTGGCGAAAACTCAACGGTACAGAGGGCGTTTACGTCCAGGTGATTACAACCCTCCATGGAAATTCGACCTCTGAAAAACTCAGTTCAAAGGTGAGAGGGAACTCATGTGCACGCTGAAGCGGCAGAGAACGTGGAATGTGTATATTGAAACTTAAAAAAGCATGCTGATCCTTTCTTTATCGTTATATGGACTAGGATGAAACATAAAGCATTGAACTTTTGCAAAATTTGAACGGCCTTGTTGTATAAATATTCATCTGATTTTACAGAAGATTTTTCTATTGCCTAGACTTCAATAGTTAATCTAAACGTTATTACAAAACAATTATTGTGTTTGGGATCTGGTTTCTGGTCAGGTAAAGAAAGAAGTAGATTTCGAGATTACTTTCCAAGATTTCGCCCTTTATAAGACCATCATTGGGGTCTGAATAAATATTACAACATTATATGATTATTACATTAATTACAAGTCTCGGTTTGTTTAAACTTACAGCATCTTGACTACTAGGTCTCGAAGTTCATGAGGTGGTTAAATTGAACTAAGACAAGTTTTATTCGGTTTTTTCTACAATTGAACGTAATACACCAATATTTTTAAAATTAAATAAGACGTTTTCTAAAAGCATTACTAAAGACTTTTTGGAGAGACCACTGTCCTTAGTAATCTTCGTGAAAACGACTTATTTACTCTTAAAATTATTGGTATAATCTAGTTTTACGTTCAATTATAGAAAAACAGAAGAAAACTTGTCTTAGTTCAACTTAACCACCTCATGTACTTCCAGACCTAGTAGGGCTCCGGGGGCTATCAACAGCTTGGTCATTTCAGTTCCGAACGTCCCAATCAGTCTCTTATTCACACTCTCACTCACTCTTATACATACTTTCCTATTTACATACCATTCACTAAGGGTTGTGGAGTTCTCGATACTCCTTCATCACCCTTTACACTTATTATGTAACCTAGTTGAGGGTCGATTAGGTACCAATTCTGCCATTGGCCCTGCTACACTACCATTCACGCCAATAGATATTCACTCTCAATACTCACTAGAACACACAAAACTATCGGTACTATGTATAACGAAACAAACCAATTTCCCGAAGGATCGAAACGTAGGACCCAAATATTCGCTGCCTGCTCAAGCACAATCTTATGAGAATTTTCAACCGATATGTCGCATGATATTTCTACGCGCTCCCCCACACCAAGCAACTATAATCTACATGCCAGGCACATACGCGGACTTTGGCCTGAACCATTAAATGGACAGTGCTTATTTACATTTTTTGTTACAAGACTCCCATAATTCTTTTCCCATCATGAGTTAAATAATTTTTTTTAATCTTTCACGTGTATTTATTTTAATAAACGTAAATGGCAGTTTCAAATGGTTAATTTCAGAAGTGAAATGTGGTCGATAGGTCAGATTTTTCCTGACGGCAACATTTTATCGGCTCCGGTGTTTATTACGCATGAATGAAAATTGCGCAGCAGAAATGAAACAAATTAGCTTAGATACGGATTAATTACAAAAGTGAAATTTTACCATTGTTGAGGCGGCGAAGGTAGTTCCAGGCTTAACGAGAAGCATCCATTAGCGACTCAGCAGTTTTATGATGAAAAATTAAAACAAATAATAATGGAATTATTAGGGAATGTGGCCCACCTCGGTGGATTAAAGTGAAATTTATTGCGAGGGATTACATACCTGTTTCTTTTGTTGTTGTTTAATGTCCCCACGTTTTATAATACGAGATTTTTTTCGTAGGGCGAGTCGGGTTTAACATTAATAAACAAAAATGGAAAAAGGCTTTTACATTTTTTATTGCCATATGATCTAACTTCCTGAATATAACAATGGTGAATGGTCAAAAACTTCTGTGAGTCTACGAATGGTTGTGTGTGCGTCAAGAATGAGGTAGTTTAGAAAAACCTTTTTAAATTTTTTTCGACGTTTCGACCTTTGTTCTATTCATCTTCAAGGCATAAAGTGTGGTGCTATTCTTGTGGTGTCATGTTGGTTTAGTGTGAACGTTTTGTACCAATATGACACTACAAGAACAGAATCACAACCTCTGCTCTGATGATGATTTGAATAAATGTCGAAACGCCGGCAAATTTTTTTTCTAAGCTACCTCATTCTTGACCGCTCCTCATGAATTATTAAACAACCGGTCACTGAGAAACGCACATGGATTTATTGGCGGTGTTTCGGATATAATATATAAGCACAAATACTTTCATTGAATCTAAAATTTCTGGCTTTGTAAAAATTCATTT